TGTACTGGGATTGCTCGATGTACTGGGCACATTTGATGTACTGGGCACACTGGATGTACTGGGCACGCTCAAGGTACTGGGCACACTCGATGTACTGGGCACACTCAATGTACTTTGTGTTGTTGTATCCAATGTGCTGGATACCGTTGTAGACAAATCCCCTGAAGAACTGCTTTCTCCTTGATTAGATGATGAGAGAACTGTTGTTGTACTTGAAGACTTCGTTGTCTCACTTGTCATTTCATTGACTGCCTGTGTTGTTGTTGTCCCACCTGATGTCTCATTCATGTAACCTGGAACTGGAAAGTATAATGTTGAATGAAACAAACACTTCTCGTTATTGAATGAAGAAAAGTATGTTATGGTCCTAAAAACCCACTTAATGTTGTCTCTTTCAGATCACAAGAATCATTTGTTTAATATTTAACTTTCATTTTCTTCATGAAATACATTGTGGATCGATGATAGTCCCTGTTATTTACACCATCAACACACAGAATGAAGTGATTGTGTCCTTTTCTTCTGCAATTAATTAGCATTTTGAGTTTCCTGAATTGTTGTTAAAGTAATGTAAAATGAACATAATTAGTGCATTTTGTCAGTGTTGCAGAATATAGCTCGTGTTTCAATAAAATATTTCAGTAGCAAGGGCAATACTACATTACACATGACAATTATAGTTGCTGTCAACTTGAAACATTATGTATGTTGGGATCACTGTTCATTGAAATCTATGAACCATTGTTGATAAATAAGGAAAATATTCTTCTGATAACAAAAGGCTGTTGAATTCAAGTGACAATGGCATTGTACTTACAGCATTCGTTGGCGTCAGGAATCCTGGAGCAGAAATCAATGGCTATTTTTAAGACTGCATAGAAGTGAAGTGCTGTGTTCCCTCAGGATTAACAGAATGACCAATGCTCACACATACAGACGTGGATGTGCCAGTTTTGGACTGGAGTAGACAAAGTAAAAAATCACATGACACCAGGTTGTAGTCCAGCAGGTTTATTTGAAATCACAAGCTGTCTGATCACTGCTCCTTCGTTATTTGAAGTCTTCATGTAACAAAGGAGCAGCGCTCTGAAAGCTTGTGGTTTCAAATAAAACTGTTGGACTATAACCTGGTGTCGTGTGACTTCTGACTTCATGGATACATACATATTATCTGACCTTGGCTAGACAGGGCATAATGTCAATGTTTGAAGACAAATGTGTAATAGATAATATAAGGCAAAGGTAAAGTTGTCACAATACCAGAGGACTACTCAATGAATTGCAGGACACTAGGAAACTGAGACGAACACAGTGATCTTAGGGTGCTTGTCCACAGATCCCTGAAGGTGACAGGATGTGTCAATAAGTTAGTTATGAAGGCATACGGGCCATTTGTCTTTATCAATCATAGAGTCATAGAGCTGTACAGCATGGAAACAGACCCTTTGGTCCAACCTGTCCATGCCGACCAGATATCCTAAATTAATCTAGTCCCATTGTCGGTATTTGGCCCATATCCCTCTAAACCCTTCCTATTCATATACCCTTATAAAACAATAATTACTGCTCCAAGAATGAGGAAACCACCTCCAACACTGAAAATATCTCAAAAGGAGCACCTCTTAGTGCCACAATTTTTTCCCGTCCTCCATTCTGGATTACTCAGAATCCTTCACTGATACATGAGACCTGATGGCTTTGGTCCGCATGCCAGCACTTTATACAAATACCGTAAGTACACACAATTAGGTGAGTGAATTTTGCAATTTACCAACAAGATCAAGCTGCACAGTGAAGTAGCATATCCAGTATGTAAGAGATGGGAAGGCAAAAGATGACTCTGCTGATCAAGTTCCCTCATTCAACTGAACAAATAATCTATACCAGTGACTGGTAAACCTTTTTAACCAAAAAAAATCTTTTGAGAAAAGAAGTAAAAGCTACTCAAAGCCACAAATCAAAAATTCTGCAGTTCTAAATCAAATCTATGGCAAATGCCCAAGTGCATCTGTTAGAATTCATAAATTGCACATAACATTTATTTTGTATGCATCAACTGAAAAATTCAATTAGAAGACCTAAATAAATTACTGCATTTGTTGACTTTTATTAAACTTTAATTTTGTCAGTAAAGTCACCTTTAAAACCACTGTTAACTGAAATAACAAGGTGTGGAGCTGGATGAATACAGTAGGCCAGGCAGCATCAGAGGAGCAGGAAAGCTGTTGTTTCGAGTCTAGGCAACTGTGTCCCTGATCTCCCATATCTCACAGGAGGAACATAGCACTCCACTGACTACCATCTCTGCCCCTTTAATAATTAGCAGACTTTGAGAATAAAAAGGTGTTGGCTTGCCATTACCTTGTTGCTGCTCACCCTGCTCAACAAAGTCCAGTATTCCCCTCGGCCTGCTCTTAGATCTACAAGCAGCATTTTAATAACAAAGCAGCCCCTCTCAAAATGGCCACTCTGCTACATTGGAGATGGGTGGAAAGTGTCCTTTGTATACAGTGAAGACAACTGATCCGGGCGTATCATTTGTAAAAACCCAGTTCAACTCATTCAAAAAGGTGCAAACATTTCAAGGATTTTTTACCATGGTTTCCACTTGTCTGCTTTCCAACAACACAGCCTACAGAACAACCTTTGGATTTCCAAGGTGAATTGTGCGCATGTGAACTCCAGAAGTTGCCATCTGTTTCAGGCAAATAATGATTGCAATGATTTCTACTAAAAAATACAGTCTATTAAAACACTGTTTTCGAATTGAAACCAAATATGTTCTCAGTTCTTGATTTGCCACCAGTTTGAAGCTGTTAGAAGTTTACTCGTAGTACACCAACTTTATGGAGCAGAATTCATTAATTCTACAGCTGTTTGATTTCCAATAGTTACTTCTGAGGTGAGGCAAAAACTAGAATATTAAATCATACAAATCCAGGTGTTACCTTCTGAACAAAACTGTGAATATAGCGACACAGCTCAGCTTGCGGCAGTTCAAGGTGTTGCTTTACCATCTTTGCTATTTGTAGTAATGTATTTGCAAGAAGTGTTGGCTTTTCCAATGATGGTTACGTCCCTTGAAAGAATTTAAAAATCTGCAAACCTTTCCCAGCTCTGCATTGAACAAGAGACTTTGAGCTATGGGTCCTGGAGAAGAATGTATAAGGTTCCAATCAGGAGGAGGAAAGTTTGTATCAGAGATAGTAGGAACTACAGATGCTGGAAGATCTGAGATAACAAGGTGTAGAGCTGGATGAACACAGCAGGCCAAGCAGCATCATAGGAGCAGGAAGGCTGACGTTTTGGGCTTAGACCCTTCATCAGAAGTTTGTACCACTGCTTTTAGCAGTGATCTGATAACATGAACTGATGAAGTTATATTTAGTGTTATTGAGCATGGTTGAAGACAAAAAATAGGCTGCTAACTGCTACAAATTAGTCTTGGGATTGTGGGTGGGGTTATGACCAGGCCCCTTGCTTTAGCTCACATCTGTTGTTTTAATATGGGATTGATAGAAGCAAAAGTCGCACAAAGAAAGAACACAGACTGTTGAGGCAAATTCTTTCTTGTGTAATGCTATGAAAGATCGATGAATAATAGATTAAAAATCATGTCGGCATTTCGATTATATATTCCTATCCAGCTTTATTGTTGTGAAGTGGGAAATGAGGTAGGGCAAGTGACTGAGGTTTTAGTAGGGATCACTTTGGGACCAGTGACCATAAGTCTATTAGTTTTAAAATAGCTATGGAAAAAAATAGGTCTGGTCCACAAGTTTAAGTTCTAAATTGGGGCAAGGCCAATTTTAATGGTATTAGGCAAGAACTTTCAGAAGTTGATTGAGGCTGTTCACAGGTAAAGAGACAGCCAGCACGTGAGAAGCTTTCAAAAGCAAGATAATGAGAGTTCAGGTCCAGCATGTTCCTGTTTGTGTGAAGGGCGAGGCTGGCCAGAATAGGGAACATTAGATAACTAGAGATATTAAGGCTCTGGTCAAGAAAAAGATATGTCAGTTAAAGACAGCTGGGATCAAGTGAATCCTTTGAACAGTGTAGGGGGTGTAGGAGTACAATTAAGAGAGAAATCAGGAGGACAAAAGCGGGACACGAGATAGCTTTGGCAGATAGGATAAAGGAGAATCCCAAGAGATTCTATAAACATATTAAGGGCAAAAGAATAACAATGAGAGAATAGGGCCCCTTAAAGATCAATGAGGCCATCTATGTGTGGAACCACAGGAGATGGGTGAGATCCTAAACAAATATTTATCATCAGTATTTACCATGGAGAAAGATATGGAAGATAGGGAACTCAGATTTTTATATCATCGATAGCCAAAGGTGAGGTGCTGGAAGACTGGAGAGTGGCTAATGTTCTGCCAGTATTTAAGAAAGACTACAAGAAAAAGCCAGGGCAATACTGACCAGTGAGCCTGATGTCAGTGGTGGGTAAATTGTTGGAGGGAATTCTGAGGGACAAGACCTAATTGCATTCAGAAAGGCAAAGACTGATTAGAGATAGTCAGAGATAGTAGGAACTGCAGACGCTGGAGAATCTGAGACAACAAGGTGCAGAGCTGTGTTCATCCAGCTCTGCACCTTGTTGTCTTAGAGATAGTCAGCATGGCTTTGTACTTGGGAAGTCATGTCTCACAAATTTGGCTGAGTTTTTTGAAGAGGTGACCAAGAAGATAGATGAAGTAGATATTGTCTACATGGACTTTAACAAGGTACCTCTTGGTAGACTGGTTAGAAAGTTAGATTGCATGGGATTGCATAACAATGTGATTGACTATGAACCATGGATGGGCAATAAATGCTGCCTAGCCAGTGATGCCCTCATCCCATTAGTG